ACGCAACATGAATCGGATGACGCCGTAGCTTATGGGGCAGCCTTCGGAGGCGCGCGGGGGTGGTCTCGCGCAGCGGCCGGTGGTGGAGCTCGCCGCGTTGGGTCCGGTGGACGCTCGGGGAGGAGCGCCCCGCTGCGCGCGTCGATTGGGCGGCGGGGCGCCGCGCGCGAGAACTTGCAGTGCTTGGCCGTCGGCGCGACGTCGCCCACGGGCCCGGGGGGCTGCCGCGCGCGCTCGCTTCGTTCGGATGCCTTCGGCGTGAGTCTTGGGGGGAGCTGGTGGGGTCGGCGCCCTCGATGGCTTCGGTGTGCGGGCTTCGATGTGCCCGTGTCCATTCGTTTCTCTGCATTCTGCAGCGTCTCTTCGTAGCGTGGCGCTGTGTGCGGCTCCGTCGGCGTCGGCGTCTTCGCTCTCTTCGTCGGCGTCTCTGCTCTCTTCGGTCCCGCTGACTACGGGTGTCCTTTTCGGCGTGCGCCCTCGGCTAGCCACTCGTGGTCCTGAGGTGAATCGGCCTGGTCGAGCCGGAGTTCCTGCTCGTTTGCGTGCGAGTGCCCGCGGTCTCAACCTCCCCCGGTCCACGGAGAGTCCGGTGAGAGTGTCGTCTGAATGAGGCGACTCAGGAGCTGCCGCCCGGCGCCAATCCCGGCGTGCTCTCGGCGTGGCGGTCGGTACCAGGCTTGGCGCGAGTGTACCGCCGCCACACCTCCGATCCGAGTGCACGCGCGATCTTTGGGTCGGAGGAAGGGGCCGGTGTGGGAACGCCAACCCCCCGGCTACGCCTCCGTCTGAGCCTCCGGGCGGGATCTTCGGGTGCGCACCCCCTTCAATAACTAGTCCAACGCGTCATCGTCCGCGAGAATCATCAACGCCGGCTCTGCCGTCGTGAGCCACACGATTCATCGCCCTCTCTGCGCGGCGGTCGCAGTACGACGCACCAAATCCAGCCCAAGAATGCCAAACCAAATCGCCCCAAGGACGGCCCTCATCCTGGCCTGCGCGGCGCCCGCCGCCGCCTTCGCGCCGGGGGGCGCCGCGCGCGCGCTTCCGCCGCTTCTGGCGGACCCGAGCCGCACGGCCAGCTATCTCAAAAAGCTGGCGCCGGCGCCGGAGACCGCGCTGCGCGCGGAGGTGCTGCGGAGGAAGCTCGAGGGCCGCCTAACCCTAAAGGAGGAGAACGCCTACCTCGCGACGCTGGAGAGCACCGGCGGGCTCGCGCCGGCGCGGTCGACGCCGCGCGCGCCCTACGACGCCGAGTACCTGGACGAGCTGGACCGGTCCACCTGGGCGAGCACGCTCTTCCAGAAGGAGCTCGCGCGGCGCGGCGTCGGCGCCGCCGCGGGCGAGATCGAGTACCTCGAGGGGCTCGACGCCGGCGGCGAACCGGAAGAATCTTCCCCGCTCGCGTGGCGCGGCGCGATGCTCTTCGTGACCGTCGCCTGGGCGACGAACTTCGCGTTGACGGCCTTCGCCTGCGAGGATCTAGGCGCCGCGGCGGGCCTCGACGGGTCCACGGCCGCGCTCGTCTTCGTCGCGTTGCGCTTCTTCGTCGCGTCCGCGTCGACG